CCCCGCTCCACTTTCTTCCTAGAAAGTTCCTGTAACTGTAGCACCCTATGTTCTTTGGTGCATTGCCAGCCAGACACAGCCCTGCAGTGCACTGTGAGCTTGATCCACAGGGAACACACAACTTGCTGAAGTGGCTGGTGAAGAAACCACCCGAGTACACACGTATGTATGCATACAGAGCACAGGGCAGGCATCGACTTCCTTCTCCTGCGGTGGGACAGCTGCACATAAAATCCCTCACTCCCCATCAACCAAAGCTACTTTAGGTGCAGACTCCTATTGTGAGAACTGGGGGCAAACAGACAAGCTGTTACATGACCGTACAGACCCAAACATTTTGTTCTCTTCTGCTCTTAACAATAGTGAGCATTAGATCCCATGGGCAGAGACACATTCCATAACAGGTAAACTGGAGCAGAGAAATCTCAGTCCAAGTAAACTGAAAATCTTTCCACAGGATCTAGCAAACTGTGAAATCTGGTTGCTAGATAACATGTCAGATTTGCAGAAAAGCAGTTATTAAGAAGCAAAAAAAGACCACAGCAGCTGTGAGAATTTTAGACATGCATTTCAATAAAAAGCTACTAATTCCAGAGTATTTCTGCACCTTCACCTCCCTCATTTTAGATTACTCACCCAGTAGTTATAAAAACAAACAGATCATAAAGTTTCATGAACTAGCTAGAGCTCAGATAAAATTTTATTTAAAAAGCGCCACATACAGAAAGCCAGGCTCTCTGACAGAATGAGAATGCAGGCATATAAATAAAATGGAAGAAAGAAAATAATGATCTCTCAAGAAGTTGTTAAATGCTTGCAAAAATTAAACAGTAGTTTTTTTTCAGTGCAAGGACAAACTCTGAGTTCATACTATGCAGTCCTTAGTGCAGAAAAATTAGGAAAAGAAAAAATTGACTTTAAAATACCAACTGATGCTAATGGCTAAACCAACATTTAAAATGAATTTCAAGCATTGTATTATCAGAAATGATGGTACAGTTTTCACATACACTTTTCAAGTTGAAATGCTATTTTAATTGTAATATAATCTCCTGTAAAAGCATGAAAAACCTCAATGATTTCAATTTAGTAAGGTAGTCTCAAACAATTTATTTTTTAAAAAAGTATTTAGAATAGTTAAATTTTTAGTATATATATATATATATATATATATATATATATATTATACACCTGTTTTCTTTCCCCTACACAAATCTTACAGAAGAATGTGTTCCCATGTGTTTACCCCTTAAAATAAGCTCAAGTTCTCTATATAGCAGACTACTCAATAGGCAATTCTGGTAGAACAGAAATGGCATGCAACATAAAATATGCTTAGACATATGACATTACAGTTCATAAAGGCTAAGAGAGAGTCTTGAAATTACTTGTAAGCTTAGAATCAAAATTTCATGAAAAGCCTCTGGCACCAAAATAAAAGCATCAGCTAATTCAGGGCTGTGTCTTCCCATTTTTCCTTCACACTGAAGGAGCCTTATGGGACAGGTAGCCCCTGCTGAAGTCAACAGGACTACCAGCAGACTGGTATACTATGTAAGGAAGGATGTCAAGGTCTGACCTTTATGTTCCCACAGCTAATGACTGATGACAGTACCAAAAAAACGCAAACTGTAGAAAACTTTTTATTCTCAAGGTTCTCATTTAAAGAGCCTTGTATTGTGAGCAAATTAGTTCAAAAGGTCAAGGAACTTCTAGAACTTAGCACACTGTTTAAAGGACAACACAATATTCAGTTAATTTAACAGGTTATTTTTGGAGTACAATCAAGTTAATGAGTATATCATTAGCATTCTTTGATAGTAGTTCTTCTTATATTTAGATATACCTTTAGCCAACTTCACAAAGGTTTTTTTAGTCCTTTAAGTGGTTCTTTGAAATTTTGAGGTGAACAACTACTATTAGATACCCTATCAGCTTGCAAGATTTTAAGGCTCTATGCTTATTGTACTCCTTTATTTAATGGGCTTTTAGAAATGGAAATACTTATTAAAGTAGTTTAGGATAAAATTTTAAACTACTGCATGCCCAGCTCCTTAATGTCACATTTAGGAAGAGAATTTAGGTCTTAGTAGGTAAGAGACATTTTGTATGTTTTACCTTTACTGACTGAAAAAGAACTTGAGTACCATGTTAGCTCAACCATTCAAACAAGTTAAAAAGCTTATCAAAAAATATTTTGTACATTCTTTTGTATGTCAAGCATCAAGTAATAAATTTCTATTAAACAAAGTTGTATCACACAACTATCAAAAATGAACAAACAGAACCATGCTGGAACAAACCATTCTCCTTAATTTTGGGCTTGGTCCCAAAAGAGGTAGTCTGTAAGTCACACAAAAACAAAAATTCCACATAAGTTAACTTTACACGCCAGTCTCCTCTACCATATGCAGCCTCATCACTAAATAAGGCTATTTCATATTTGAAAACATTATAAGTTAGTGTTCATGTAAATACAGGAACTATACTTGAAAATTATTTCTTCATCTGTAACCGAAATTCGGTCCAGCTGAACCAATATATTAACTAGGCTTTGTGCATCAGCCTCATTAGTACAAATTCAGCTTTTCTCCAAATTAAATTTGAAACATGCCTAATACACAGGTATGCCTTTTAATAACAAAGGATACATGTATTTAGGTGTGGAGAAAAGCTTCACACTGTGAAACCTTGTTAGTTATACAGGTGCATGACTATCATTTCTCTACAAATGCTGCTGCTGCCATTGAACTCCTCATAGTTCCTCTCGCTGAAGCTGCGAACTCTTCAATTTCGGCATTCAGTCTATTAATTACCCACTCCAATGCTTCACGGCCCTACAGTTAAAGAAAAGTTTATTAGTGTCTAAATCTTAGTAAATGAGTAAATAGGTGAAATCCTGTCTTATGAAAATTACTGCAGACACAATAGTTGAAAAAGGAAGAAGAGGTACAGAAATACATGCCTCTGTGATATTTTTTACTTCAATAACCAGAAGACTGCAGGAACATGTATCACCTTACATTTAATGAAAAAATTGCTTTTGTCAGCAATGCTCACATTATGAACCATAATAGGCTTTTTATCCAGATTGCTTTATCATTCTTGAGGCTGAATTCAAGGCAACTTTAGATTCCCAGAGGACAGACTCGACTAAAACACCACTTCATTACTCCCACATAACCACTTCAGATCTGTCTGGATGTATATCCTTTTTCAATAGCAAAAACTAATAGCATCAAGAGGGCAGTAAAAGAGTAACAGTGCCAGACTGTTAAGCGAGTGAAGATGTTTTTCCAGTGAAGATTCAAAGAGCTTTGCCAATAATAATTTATTATCTCCTTTCATACAAGGAAAAAAAAGAGGAAGTTCAACAAGCTGAGCATTTAGTCTCTAGAGTGAAGGCAGTAGAACTATGCAGATCCTTCTTAAAACCGCTGACAAAGCCAAAAAGTAAAATATTTTTATTCCCTTTGTGATTTAGCCAGTTGTCACATATTTTACACAAGGATCATACTTACTTTATTAGCATTGGAAGAAATTGTGTTTGCCATTAGTCCTTCTAGATAACTGCTGAGACTGACACCTTTTACAGATATTATTGCTTCTTGTGTCAAAATGGTTCTGAAACACAGAACAGGTAGTTTAAAAAGAATGCACTGAGAATGCACTGATGAAAGAAACTTGCTCCTCCCCAGCAAGTACATTCCCCCATCAGCTTCACTGTATAACACAGAACTTCTTGCCCCATAAATACAACTCAATAGAACAGTGCTTAACTGCTTTATGCTTCTACTCATAAAATAAAAACCAAAAGTCCCCACCAAGTCCAAGTGTTCCTTTTTGGCACTCAACTATTTCCATATTTAGCAACAGGAAGAGTGGAAACAGCAGATTTGGAGTGAAGGTATACTGGGAAAACAGTATTAAGACATCCCCTTCAACAATAGGAATTTAACATTTCTGACTGTCATGGCAGAAAAAAACCTCTTATGTAAGAATCCCTAGAAAGATCCTTCAGAATTATCACTAGTCCCAGCAGTATAGACTCAGCAAGTTCTAAACTTGCCTTAAAAATAAACAAACACCAAAATCCAAACCTCCAACATTACAGACTAAAGGCAGATAACTGTGCCTTCTAGTGCAAGTTCTGTGCTCAGGCTGATGAAGAAATAAGGAGCTGATAACTGAAGATCTATACAAACTTGGTTACAAATAGGACACAGGACAACTCCCTGAAAAGCTGATCTGCCTTGATCATAGCATGACACTAAGTTTCCCAGTAGTGCTCTGCAGAAGCAATGTCACTTGGGAAAATGACAGTCCATTTAATTCTTTTGTAGACAAGTTACTGTAACAGAGGTGATGTAAATCTCATCTTTTGTTCAAGAGAAACCATGGAAATTTTCAAAGCCAAAGTGCACTACTACAGGGCAATCTCAGAACAAAGAGGTACTTACTTGTCTGGTTCGTGAGGGTGTGGTTTATAGACAAGCCTCTCATCTACTGACACTAGGTTTGTAAATGAAATCTGTAGAATACAAGACAGGATTACCCCTTGATAAAAATATTAAAGGAATGTGTAAATAAAACTGCAGATTCAAAACTAATGCTTATATCTGATTTAAACATTACACTTTTCCTGCAAGTACTAGGGTTGTAGAACAAGATAGAGAAATCTCCAAGTTCAGCATTTGCTGATCCAGTTATCTTTCCTTAAGTTTTTGGGTTATTTGCCAATATACACTACCACATTTATAAGAACATTTCAACAGTGGGATCAGACAGATGGGAGTAGTACAAAGAACAAAACGTTACATGATTAGGAAATGGTGACAGTGTACACCAAATGGCTTTTAAAATTTTTTTCTTAGCACCCCTCCTGCTCCCAAAACTACTCCTGTCCTGCTCATCGCTATGTTCAGATGCTTTGAGCTCCTTTCTGAAAAACAGAACCAGCCAACTATAAACACCTTAATTAAACCTTTAACTTGTATTGTTCTCATGCAATTCTCAAATAATTTTCAAGATGATTTTCCTTTTCAAATTTACAAGGTATTACTATAATCTGTAACCTATATCAATTGCACAAACACAGCTACTTACATTACTAGATTTAAGCTCCATTGTTTTTTTCACTGGGTCAACAACAGAGTGCTCCTGAATGTATGTCTTTGTTCTGCACGTGCCAATGAGCTAGAATACAGGCAAACACATATGGCATTAATTATGCTAATCAACTGCAATATTTTAGTGCCTTTAAATGCATAAGTAGTGGTTATTGTATTGAACAGACACCGAGACAACAGAATTAGGGCTTAGTTTAAAATAAAACTATTCTGTTGAAGTAGATCTCATTTTCAAAATGGAAGTAATCTAAGATCTAGGCAATTTCTGGCTATCAGTTAGTTGTTGTATGTACTGCTATTGAGCTTTCCTGATACATAAATGCTTATATTTTTAAAGCATTAGAGTTATGAAATGATACACGTCTATTACAACATCTTGTTCACAAGCTTCCGTTCCCTCCAGCATCCTTTTCTAGCTCTGCGATACCATACGTACCGATTTCACAATGGAGGGTATTCCCCATTCTGTGCTGAGGAGTCTGTGGCTGTGCAACTTCCCACTGGGGTCTACGTGTCTGTCCAGGACATCAACTCCGACCACGCTGGGGTTCATAGGATTTGGGTATTTCTGCATGGCAGCCGTCGTTACCGTTTCCCAGGGGTGGCTGCCAAAACAGAATCAAGACACAAAGTTGTACACCTTCATTTTTAAATAGGATTTCTATTAAACACAGAGTGATGTGTGAACACATCAATCAATTTATATTTTAAAAGCAGTCCAGTTTCCCATTCTCAACCCTATAAATACCCTTCCCTAGAGGAAAACATCTGTTTTGTGGATTGGACAGCAGTACATGCAAGTTAAGCCTGCAACACACCCGATTAGTCAGGACTCCCGAATTCAATTACCTTTTGGCTTATAATTTGAAAGGAATGTTTTCCCTGTGACATAATGCTGAAAGACTGTCACTTTTGAGGGGTTTCAGCAATACTGGAATAATTTATTAAGTCGTTACTTTCCCCCAACAAGCATTTCCTTCGGATTATTTTTCGACATAGGTGTTCTGGAGCACTTGGGCCCCGACAACACGAAGCCTCACGCCGCTCTGGCCAGCCCAACACTAGAGAAGGCGAGGGCAGCACCGAGAACCCCCAGTAGGGCCGACACCGCAGCCGGACCCGCGCTACCCAGGTACGCCTCCTGGTTCGGTTTTAAAACCGCGGTCTCCACGGTCTCACCGGCTGCGCCTCCTCAGAAGCCCCCGCTGAGGGCAGCGCCCCGCACACTGTGCCGGTAGCCGGGCTGCGCCCCCCGGCAGAGCGGCCCCAGAGCCGGCAGCCGTCTCGGTGCTCTGCCCGCCAC